AACCGTCAAATAAAGTATCAGACACTTTATCAAATATAACAGATTACACCTTCACAGTTGCTAATAAATACGGTCCGTCCCTAAGGCCCGTTTTCCACCATAGCGAAGAGGAGAAGAGATGTGTTTGATTTGAATAACTAATAAGATTTCATTATTTCCACAACACATTTTTTTGTAAGATCAGGATAACGATGCGGTTTGTACAATAACTAAATATCGATGTATTTACCTTTTTACTGCATAAGTATCTGAATTATTTGTTATCCAATAAAATAAAAATAACACCTCTCTGCTCAGCTTCGGTTCGCCTGGTCATTCAAACACATCTTTATGCGTTGGTGGAAACCGGCCCCTAACGCCAGTAGCACGCCTTCGCGACAGATGAGTAGCTAGGCAACCAAAGGGCTTGTTGCAGAAAACTAGGGGCCCTTCAAAACTGTTTAGGGTGAACCTTGGGAGATTCAGTATGAGGTTCGACAGTTGGTAAGATAGCGAGTAACCCAGTGGTTGAGGATTCCGCTTGTAGCTCGATTCCACCTTCGGCCTGATCATCACTTTTCATCAGGTGTAACGTAGGCTAGGAGCTTTGGATCACACCTGATGAAAAGTAAAGGCCGAAGGTGGAAGAGTTAACTAAATACAAAGCCTAAAGAATAGTTTTGCCGTCATTCATGGGCGTACCCAGCCTGGAAGTCGCTTTGAAAGAGCTAAGTCAAACTATTTGACTTAAAAAAATCTGGCTTGCCAAGACCAGAAGCTGGGTACACCCATGGTAATCATACTAAATAGTTCTGCAGGTGGAAATGTGTAACCGTTTTACCGTCATAGTTTCGCAACGGATGTGTAACCGGCGTAAAAGATCTGGGACGTGTATCAATCAGTTTCACATAGTTACGGGCACGGCCCGACGGTAAATAGGCAGGAATTCTTGTCATAAACAATAATTTAGCTAGCGTAAATATTCCACTCGAGTGGGGTGAATATAAATAAGTTGTTTTATGGACATTCCCTAGCACAAGTCAAGTAGTCAACCAAGTTTTTTCCACTTACACAATACAAGTGTGGTTTTCAATTGGCGGTGATTGATATACTGGGCATTATAAAAATGTATTATGGTAAAACTAAATGAGACGCCTGGAGCTTAATAATTTGAGATAGTAATAAAAAGCATAATTTATCATTATAAACGCCATATTTTTTTTTAAATGGATGCATGTTTAGGGTTCCATTCAAATTACTGTGCGAATGTTGATGAATATTTACAGATATACATCAGAATAAACATAAAAGTATCTAATTCTAAATCCACACAGGTTAACCCTAAGGATAAAAGCTAAATTAAAATAAAAACAATACCTTAAAATCATGGTTAATGTTGGTCACCCTATAAGGGGTGGCTGTTAGACCCCCCACCCTCTTGACAGTGTTTAGGTTCGGATGTTCCAAATCATCCCCATTTTACTAGCATCCGGAGGTCGGCGGGTTGTTTTGCTATTTTTAAAAGGGTTGAATAAGCTACATTATCGTGAATAAATTAAGGAGTGTAAGTGGGATGCAGGATAGCTTAGCATTATCATAGGACTAGTCGACACTTAACTTCGAACTACTCCTATGTTCATTCCCCCGGGACAAACTTGATTTTCACTGGTTGGGTTTTTATTTATGGTAATCAAGCTGTAGATGTATCAACTTTTTGGCCACTATTAGACTATTTTTAAAGAACCAGGGTTAGACAGTCTGTAAAACCCATGTCTAATTCTATTCTTACATTAATGTAACGGTAAAAAAATACATATAAGAATTTAATATTTAATTTAAAATTGAATTCTATTGCGTAAATTAAAGGATTTGATCTTTTAAAAAAGGAACGTTAACTAACACATTAATTAAGACCCGTGTAACAGAACGGACGAAAGTTCGCGGAAGCAATAAAGCATGTTGTCAAAACGCTGGGAATTCTGGCTGGGAGCCAGTGGACGGTGGCTAAGCTGTGGGCTTCAGGTTTGGTGTCAGTGACCTTTGACCATAAAGACTCAAATCATTATTAATGTCCTTACTCGATTTTAAAAAGGAGAGGTTAAGACTGCAGCCTTTTTATCGACCGATAGTCTGGCCACGGGAACCCGATGCCTTTAAATCTTGATAGATATAGAAGAAGATAGGTACAGGAAAACTTTAGTTTATTCATAAGCCAAAAAAGTTTCCAATGTTAATTTGTCAACAGCGAAGACATATTATAAAAAGCCAAATCGTAAGCCTTACCATGTTTAACGTTAAGGTAGGTACTTACGAAGAAAAGTTTTAGTGTGAAATTAAGGACCAACTTATACTTCAGTTAATAAGGTTATTTAGCGTCTTCAATAGAAAGGGATAATATTCTATATTTGTCTGATCAATTTTTTTATGAATGTTTACCAATTTCTCTGTCAAACAAAAACTGATTTAAAAAAATATTTTTTGTTTGAAAGAAATCAAAACCACTTTTGACTGCAAAAATCTGTCCATCATTTACATTCATTTATATAATTTTTAATATTTTTACACATAAAAACAAATTCAGAATTTTTTTTATTGTTATTCTTATTTCTACCTATTAAAGCAATGAAAAAATATTTTTTCTTTCTTTCTTTCTTTCTTAAAAATAAACTATGCATAACCCGTGCGCAAAAATACTGTAGACGGTTGTAATCGGTTAATTAAAAGGCGTAGAAAGTAAAAATTCAGTATGCATTTATTTGAATATAAAAGCACTGCAGATTGATTACCATAAAAAGCAGTTATCTTCTTAAATATTGCCTTATTTGAGGCTCGAAATAAGTAAGCCATTTTCAGTTGTAAAATGATTTATTTCATCGAAAAAGAGGCATAGGTATTCAAAATTTTCTGACATCTGACACTGCAATCACAGAGCGCCCTTTTTATCCGGTTTAAGAGCTAGAAGGTATTTTCGATTTTCACAGTAACTCATCTAATTCATATGCCATGTGTTATTTTTTTTTTGAATAATTACTATGGCACCCATTGGCACCAATCACATGCCACCTACCAACAAAAAATCGCATCTGTCCATCAAGTTTCATTCAAGTGTCATCGTCGGAGACCATCCCCCCTAGACAAAACGCACTTTTTGATCGAATCGAAAATCGAATCCGTCAAAACTCCATACAAAAAAGGGGCTTTTCGACCACTTATCGACTGGTTTGCGATTATAATTTGCACTTTGTCTAGACCCACTGGGGGTGTACTTTGACGATGGTCTTTCATTTCGTTGTCATTACGACCATATTGTCACACGTTTTACAAGGGTCTTCAAGAACCAATCTACCCTTATATGCCTATACTACTCACTGATCAGAAGCATCTTAGATTATGGTTCTGTCATCTGGTCGCCATTCTACAATCTAGGTACACTCGGACCGAATTGAGGGAGACCAAAGTTTTCTGAATATTCTTTGCTTCAGATTGGGTTTGGGTCGCGAATATAAGTCATACAGGGTAAGACCGCTTCAAAATGACGTCTCTGGCCTCCAGACGTGAATGTCTTGAACTTGTCTGTCTGCATAAGATTTTGCATTCTGAACTTGATTCACCTAATCTTCTTTCCCTTCTTAATTTTAACACTCGCTACAAAATACAAATCCCGAAACCCTACCATACTGAGATACCTGATGATACTGAGTGGGTAACCTTTTTGGCAACATTTCTTTTTTCTTTTTTCTCTTTTCTCTTAATTGTCTTTGTACTTTTTTTTTATAATTGTATTTTTATATTGCCCTTTGTTTCTTTGTTGTTTTGTTGTCAAATAAATAATTTTTCTTTCTTTCTTCTTTCTACCAAACAATATTTTCGCTCCAAATCTATAAAGACAATACCTTTTTTTACAACCCTATAACCAGAATGTGCAGACTTTTAATGACACTGTCACTGAACACTCTTCTTTGGTTATATTCTGTTCTAAGTTGTACAAATTCAGGAGAGATATCCTGAATATAAAGTCAAGTTGTCCTTTGTAAACTTTAATAACACTTAATAACATTAAATACTAAGCATAAAATGAGTTAAACTAACACTATTTACCCTCTTTATTTCATAATTTTCAATTCATTCTGTGCACACGACATCATGTTAAGTAAGAGTTAAGAGTTGCGGTTTAGATTAATCTATGGATTATTATCTGTGCCTAAATATGACCGTAACTTGTTTTGTGAGCCTTAAATAAGTAAATAAATAAATAAAGTCGTTCGAAGAAATGGAAATCCCCAAAACGTTACCGCAGCGGCACCCGCAACCTTTCAAAACCACGGGGGGCTCAAACGTCGCTGCTTGACCATGGAAAGGCACAAATACAAGCCACCTATTGAAACACCTTAAATCTGGCCAAGGCTAATAGGCAATAATCATGTCGCTGCTGCAGTAACGTTTTCAAGCATCACCGCAGCGGAATCCCATTTTCACCAATTAAGTACTCCGCAACCTTACCGGGTACAAATGGTAGACTCTCGACACATTTACAGGATACAAGGCACCAACCCCTCCACATAAGCACATCCCGACCAGGGTCACCATGTCGCTGATGTAACGCACACGATTAATTTAGGAATTATTAATCTTATCTACCTACTTATTTAAAAAGACCAGTGTCGCGCGCTAAATGAAAACAAGCTTGGTAGGCAGGTACCCATCCATTGGGGCTACTCCCGATCCCAGTAACGTCAATATACTTAGTAGGTATGCATGCCAGCCATTCACGCAGCACGTGTAAGTGAATCGAAAATGATGCTATAGTCCGGTCGCCGCCAAGCCCGTACGACACGGGGACGGGCCGTCCACAGTGAGTGAGCGAGCGCGACAGCAATACAATTACGCGCGAGTGATAAGGATGGGTAGCATGGTGTAATTGGACGAAATTCTACGTATTCGGCGACGATAAATAGAGAGAGAGAAGGAATAAAACATCAGTGAAATAATAATTAAATAAGTAAATAATATTTTGCTACCTAGGTATATTTTGTGCCAGCACGGTATTATTACTCGTAAATAAATAGGTAGGTGCTATTATTTTCGCGAGTGACGCGCAAACGAATGCAACAAAAAACCTAAACCTAAATCACAGATAATCCTAAATCTTAAACCTGTTAGTGCAAGTCGATTAAAATGTAGGCATATTTTTGAATAAACTACGATACGAGTACAAAAAACTAAAACTAGATTTTGTATTTTTTACGAACAGTTCATTTGATATTTACTTGACTGCTCCAGAAGGAGGGTTATGTTTTTTTTACATAATAATTATTTCTGAATATTTTTATGGAAAAAATAAGTTTCGATATTGTCCTGTTTTATATACCTAATAAAATAAAACAAATTAGAGTTTTAAGATGGTAATTTGAAGCGGGATACGAACCCATGGTGCTGGATATTGAGCGTCGGCTGTGATCATTGTGCTACTTGGACATTATTATACCGTGCCGAAATTTTCAATAGTGTCTCTAATCTGTTTTTTGCTTAGTTACATGTCTTCATAAACAAAGCAGTAAACTTATTGGCTTTAGCGCCATCTTTTGACATAGCACGCCAAATAAATACTCCGCTCAAGTTGCTAGAATAGAAAGCATTAGCGGGTCGCAAACCGCGGGACGGTCAAGTCCGCTGCGGCACACTAGCGCGATCTGTTATCACCACTAAGAAACCAAGCGGGCCCGAGCAGTTTCAAGACTTAGGTCGGCCACATTTCGAGTATGGGATGATGCATCTGTACTAGTATTATATTATCTGTGATAAGACTTAAAATTAATTTCGGTGTAAATGTTAAGCTACTCTATCCACGTTTTGGCACATGACTTGAAAGATTGACAACGTTGGGAATGAAGTTCTGCGGTGCAATTGTGTAAAGCAATCGGATTCATTTGACAGTTCAAAACGTACGATTATTCTGTTAAACGCTTTTTTATACAGATTTTATCGTACGTTTTGAACTGTCAAATGAATACGATTGCTTTACACAATTCCACCTCTGTTTCTTCAGACAATTTAACTCAAGATTAATATGACATGATACCTATAGTTAGTCTGCAAAATATATAGTTGAGTGTACGAAACCCATATTGAATGTCCGTTAGCTATGCTTTAACCCCATTTTACACTTTATACCCCACTCTTAAAAGCTATTTTACATCGTTATACATTTCAATGAGCTCTGTTTAAGGCTTTGAAATGACTCGAACAAAAGCTTCGCAATGAAATGGAGAGAAACTCGATCTTTGGAGACTTCCGTCTTGAATCCGTGGTTTAGTTTAAGTACGTATTTGAATTACTTCAGCGAAACATTATGATTTTGCCTAATATGAATTTGTATTATTACATTATGAGCGTCATTTATTAAATAATCTGTGCTTGTAGGGTCTCCCGATGTTGGGCTACAGCCTCCATCCAGTTTCCAAACTCTCCGGTTTTGGACTTGCTGTTCCAACTTTGATAGTACAGATTTGCCCTGAAGCATGCAGAAACTAAGTCATTGGGATATATGGGATAGGGTTGATATTAAATAAGGTAGGTGCTATTATTATCGCGAGTGACGCGCAAACGAATGCAACAAAAAACCTAAACCTAAATCACAGATAATCCTAAATCTTAAACCTGTAAGTGCAAGTCGATTAAAATGTAGGCATATTTTTGAATAAACTACGATACGAGTACGAAAAACTAAAACTAGATTTTGTATTTTTTACGAACAGTTCATTTGATATTTACTTGACTGCTCCAGAAGGAGGGTTATGTTTTTTTTACATAATAATTATTTCTGAATATTTTTATGGAAAAATAAGTTTTTTATTGATAATTCTACCTTTATTACTGCATGTTTCGATATTGCCCTGTTTTATATACCTAACAAAATAAAACAACTTGGAGTTTTATGATGATAATTTGTAGCGGGATACGAACCCACGGTTGCTGGATATTGAGCGTCGGCTGTGATCATTGTGCTACTTGGACATTATTATACCGTGTCGAAATTTTCAATAGCGTCTCTAATCTGTTTTTTGCTTAGTTACATTCCTTCATAAACAAAGCAGTAAACTTATTGGCTTTAGCGCCATCTTTTGACATAGCACGCCAAATAAATACTCCGCTCAAGTTGCTAGAATAGAAAGCATTAGCGGGTAGCAAACCGCGGGACGGTCAAGTCCGCTGCGGCACACTAGCGCGATCTGTTATCACCACTAGGAAACCAAACGGGCCGGAGCAGTTTCAAGACTTAGGTCGGCCACATTTCGAGTATGGGATGATGCATCTGTACTAGTATTATATTATCTGTGGTCTGGCTGTTTATCAGTATGGACTGGACATGTTGGTTTCGGCCGATATTCTTCACAAATTAGAATCGGGCCCAATTATCGGCCACAAAATGTGTACAATATGGGCCGACTAACACCCGTTTTCACAAACGATGCTTGCTTAAGTGAAGCAGGAAATCGAACGCACAGGGTTAAATAGAGCTCTGTGATTGACTCGTGTGTCGTCCTGTGCGTCCACGCGCACTGTGAGACATCATAGTAATGTTTGTGAATACGGGCGTAATAAGTCTATAGGGGGATAATCTTATGGGTCGAATTCAATAATAAAAAAGTCTAAACAGCCGACAGCACACATTGTGACGATTTATGATAAGTAACTAAGTAAACTTATTATAATGTGGATATTTGGCTTTGTGAGAACTGTGCGAGACTGTTTAATTTGGCAATTAAGATAAATAATGGGAACACCGCTAGAATTTACATTCCATGAACCCAGTTGCATTTACCCTGGACTTAAATTACTCAGTTTGATATAGTCTTGTCAGACTGACCAGCACTTTATCAATGTTTGTGTAATCGCAAAAAATATGACATAAATAACTCAATTGCGAGTCACGTTTGCGAGCATTAACATACAAATTGTTTTGACCGACGAATACCTATCACTTGCATTGCGATATCACAATATGATAACACGTATGTACAGCAGCACATCGGACTATACATTTTTGTTGGAAAATGGCACCTATTATAACTATAGATAGTGCCATTCACGAAGACGTGCCCCACCATTCTTCCGCTAATGTTAGAGTGTTATCGGTACACGCTAATTATCCATGAGTACACACGCACACTACAATAATGACGCTCGGATTGCTCGGATCAAACTCCCCGCACCCCGCGCATCCCTCGACCAACATTTGGTGGGGCGCGTCTTCGTGGATGAAACAATCTATAGTGGCCTGCATCCAGCGCCTTCCATGCAAATCCGTCTGTACATACAAATAATTAACTATTGAATTGTCTATACAACGAGACGGATTCAGGAGTGATAGGTGCAATTTTGCAAGAAGAATGTATAGTCTAACTTGTATTGACTGTACAAGCTTAACACTGTAGCATCTTATAGCCATTGCAATAAGTGCCATTTTGCTATAAGAATGTCTAACGTATTGACTGTAAGTTTCACAAGAAATACCAGAGTTCGCCACTGATACGTAACGCGTATTGTCTGCAGTATTGTATAACAGTCACTAAAATGTTTCAGATGGCTCGTAAAGCGATTGGTTTAATGCCTACCTGTCATTGGAACTCAGAGACGTTATTAACCTGATTTCTTGAACGCGCCCAAAAGCGCTCGATTGTCAGACAAAATTTGAAGTCATCAAACTCTTGTTAAGCCAAGAGCAGACAGAATAGACAAAAAAGTAACTCTGCAACATTTTTCATGGAATCATGCTGTCATTAATGTAAGTAAGCAGTTGATAGAGCAAGTTATACTTGTGACGTGTACAAGTGCCCTGGACCTAAGTAGTGAACAAATTTTAGATTTAAAAAAATTACATTTTGTATTAAATACCCAGTTATACAACTCTTCTTACAATGCAAAAAGACAATTTTATCTTTCCACGAGTAAATTCTACGAAGTTAAAGAGCAAGACTAGTTTATCGTTTAACTACGTTAATTAATGGCCATTTTACCAGATAACTCAATTCAATACAAGGTGTATAAATGTGTACAAAGTGTACAATAGTTGGTGAGATAGACTCGGGTTGTTATCCTAGCTAGACCTTGAAGAGAGCATTCATTTTAAACAAGTTTAATAAATATGGATTATAGTTATCTAGTTGGTTCAATACGCAGCATTATGACAAATTTTAATGATTAACTGCGACTTTCTTTTTCATTCAACAGACAATCATTTTGTAATTACTTAGGAACAACCTAAAAAAAATAATGGACGGTAATAATTAATATTTCCGCCATTATTATTCACCTAGATGGAAGGGTTAAGGGCCGATGTTACGCAAAACTGAATAAACCCACACACTAATACGTTGCACCATCAAACTTTAACCGTAACTATAACGATAACCGGTGTTTTTATATGGAGTTTGACCGGTTTTTGACGTTTGTCACAGTTTAAGTAAGGTCAACAGTTCTATCAACACAGCCTAACAGTCGCGGATTGGTTCTCTTTTACGTAGGTTCATTTATAAAAAACTACTAAAGTAAATGCAGAATTTTCTAATGTCTTTTATAATATAATCTCAACGATTTCTAGTACATTAAAAAAAAATAGCACTACCAAAAAACTTGATAACTTTGATAGGCATTTCAACAATCGTCATTTCTGCGCACATATACTTTGCGCCACGCCACAACCCACGTGACCGCTGACTCACTGCCGCGCCGGCTTCATTCACCGATAACTCCGTCAGCTGTCTTTGCTGGCTGTATTATCTACAATACACACGCAGCGACCAATTTAAAACACACTTTTAGCCTGCAGTCTGTGTTCTGTGGCAATGGTATTGAGGGAGTTTTTGTGCGCTGCGTGTACATTTAATTTTGTACTTTGAAACTTCGTGCGGAGAACACATAGTATGATGACACAGCAAACTCAGCAATGTGACTTGTTATGTACGGAAGACAACTAATCAAGCTTATTTAGGATAGAAGTGCTGGTTTTGGTAATTTTTACACCGTTTTTGGCCATTCTAAATTTTAACTAAAAGCATTGTGAAATCATTTTTATAATTTACCTTTATTTAACTTTAGTTTTAAATATTAAAAATTCATTTTACATTTGACAGTCTTTTTGATACCTATTACCTACAAATTTCAAAAAGGCATAGGTGGCCACAAACGGGGTTTCTGTCCTAATAAATAATCCTACTAATATTATAAATGCGAAAGTTTGGATGTCAGGATGTTTGTTACTCTTTCACGCAAAAACTACTGATCGGATTGTGATGAAAATTTGCAGTATTATTGTTTATAACCCAGAATAACATAATAGGCTATAATTTATGACGATCTGTGACAAACGAAATTTCACGCGGGTGAAGCCGCGGGCAAAAGCTAGTTTAGAATAAAAGTGTATGGTCTAACGTGCTATCGACTGTACACTGTCCTTTTGGCCTTAATATTTAATACGTATCTAGGCCGTCAATCGATGGATCATTTAGGTCACTAGGATATTGTGCTTTCTGGGTTCATTTAGATTGACACAGAATAAAAATACAGGGCAATTTATGTACGAATTGATAAATCGATTGCTGCAAAAATATGCCTTCAAGACCTGTGGCTCAATCAAATAAATAAAAAAGTTTTGGGCTGACACTGTGTAGGTTTGTTGTCGCCGCGACAAGAAGAATAGAAGAAGAATCAAATATCTACATCATATACACAATGGCACGCACATAATGTGTGTGAGGGAGGCGACATAGCCGAACGGTGAAGGTGTAGGAGTGGGAGAGGAACTCCGAGATCCTAGGAATACTGGTTCGAAGTCCGCCGCTGGACTTTTGTCTATTGTGGCGAATCTACTCGTAATACAAGCATAATTAATTAGCTTAGTACGAGGGGTTAACGGTTGTATTGCACAAATTGCTAAAAAAATTTTTAAAACAAAAATAGATAAACTAAAATCGACCTTAGTGCAAAAGAACTCAACCGTTTATTCTCAATTATCTCTCTTCTGATAGTATCTCTGACTCAGTAAGGTAATATCATTAACGCGGCTTAAGGTAGCATTCGGATCAACGCGACCGCGACGCGCGACCGCGACCGGCGACCGCGACCGGCGACCGCGACCGGCGACCGCGACCCACTGCTTTATATGAATTAAGGCTTACCGTCTCCAATGATAGTAACTGTAAGTTCTTACACTAATTGCCCTGGTACAAAAGCCTTCGATAGGGTTGCTAGATGGTCAGGATTTGGAGGGATTCTCCCGACTTTTTGACTCCCGACAAAGTACAATATCATCCAACATACAACTTCATTTTAGGGCCTCCCGTTGTACTTAGCGCCTAGTGTGACAATAAATTTGAATATTTTTATTGTTTCTCCAAGTTCCCGACCATATTATAACAACATGAAAAAAATTAACTGGCAGGAATCGAACCTACGGCCTTTCGCTTGCCGAGCGACTGCTCTTCCAACTGAGCTACTTATGACACCGGATGAACCAGTCGAACCGCTGTACGCCGCGTTTTAGTTTGAATAGCAACTCTAAATGCTAAGAAATTTTAATTTTCCGACCAAAGTCCCAAAAAAAAGTATTTTTCTTTTGAAAATCGGGTTATTCGATCTAGCAACCCTAATCCTAGCTTGGAGGTTTTAATTCAATTAACTTTGACATTGGGACTATCCTTACGGATTTAGTAATTCTATGAGGTTCGTTTGCTAAGTGGTGGCTGCTAGTTTGTAAGATTTTGTCTAATTGAACCAATTTTAATTAATTTTGGTATAGAGATAGTTTGAAAATGAAAATAGAAACAGGCTAAAAATATTGAAAACAAAAATAATAGGGGGGTCAAATAGGTTTGAAAGATAAAAGTGGACCTGAAAGTAATGTTAAAATAGCCAAATAATAATTTTACCAAGATCATGAAACATTGACAGTCTCAAATTCTTCATAGAAAAAGTATTCAGAAGATATTTTGGTTCTTAATTATCTTTAAACCATAAAACGGAGATGTACGAAGATTTCTTATCCGGTCCGCTTATTCCGGTCAGTGCACCATATTTTTACACCCCTTTTCGGCTCTGTTCAACCGTTTTTAAAAAGCCGAGCGGAAGCGTAACGAAGCGTGTAAATACCAAAATTTTATTGGTTCTATGTTGAAAGAACTCGAACAAAGAGGAGCTTCCCTCCTCTCGCCTCGTCTCGGCCTTGGTGGAAAACAGGCCTTACGCCTTATTTACTACGTTATTATGAAGTAATTTCTTGAG